CTTCGCGCAGGTTTTGAAACCCTCTAAATGCAGAATTTCGACCTGGCAAGGCAAGGGCTAAGGGCGATGGCAAAGCGCTGGCAAGGGGCCAAAGCTGCACGGAGGGTTTTGGGGCCCTGGTGGAACGTGCTTCGCGCAGGTTTTGAAACCCTCTAAATGCAGAATTTCGACCTGGCAAGGCAGGGGCAAAGTGCGAAAGGTGCAGCACAGGAGGGTTTCGTGTCCTAGTGAAACGTGCCTGGCGCAGGTTATATTCGATCTGGCAAAGCGCTGGCAAAGGGCTAAAGCTGCACGGGCCCTGGTGGAACGTGCTTCGCGCAGGTTTTGAAACCCTCTAAATGCAGTATTTCGACCTGGCAAGGCAAGGGCTAAGGGCGATGGCAAAGCGCTGGCAAGGGGGTAAAGGCGCTGGCAAAGGGCTAAAGTTGATGGTTTTGGGGCCCTGGTGGAACGTGCTTCGCGCAGGTTTTGAAACCCTCTCTAAATGCAGTATTTCGACCTTGCAAAACAACGGCAAAAAGGGTTTTTGAAACCCTCTAAATGCAGAATTTCGACCTGGCAAGGCAGGGGCAAAGTGCGAAAGGTGCAGCACAGGAGGGTTTCGTGTCCTAGTGAAACGTGCCTGGCGCAGGTGTGGAAACCCGTCTAAATGCAATATTCGACTTGGCAAAGCGCTGGCAAAGGGCTAAAGCTGCACGGAGGGTTTTGGGGCCCTGGTGGAACGTGCTTCGCGCAGGTTTTGAAACCCTCTCTAAATGCAGTATTGCGACCTGGCAAGGCAAGGGCAAAGGGCGATGGCAAAGCGATGGCAAGGGGCTAAAGTTGATGGTTTTGGGGTGGGGCCCTGGTGGAACGTGCTTCGCGCAGGTTTTGAAATCCTCTAAATGCAGAATTTCGACCTGGCAAGGCAGGGGCAAAGGGCGAAAGGTGCACAGGAGGGTTTCGTGTCCTAGGGTGGAAAGCGTCGAAATGCAAGATACGACCTGGCAAAGCGCTGGCAAAGGCTAAAGCTGCACGGAAGGGTTTGGGGCCCTGGTGGAACGTGCTTCGCGCAGGTTTTGAAACCTTTTAACTGCACAATTATTTCGACCTGGCAAGGCGCTGGCAATGGGCTGCAGAGGGGTGCTTCGCGCTGCGCGGGATGGTTTCGTGACAGACGTGGACAGGAGAAAGGGCATGAGGCGACAGACACAGCCAGGAAGATGGCCGTGGCTGATGCTGCACACCTGCGGTGATCCCAGGCGCCGCCCCGCCTACGCCAAGGCTAGGCAGGGGGCGGCGGATATTATAATATAATACAATATATAATATAACATAGCATAATATAATATAACATAATATGATATAATATAACATAATATAATATAACATAGCATAATATAATATAATATAACATAGCACAATATAATGTAATATAATATAATATAGTATAATATAATATCATATCATATCATATAATATAATATAATATAATATAAAATCCGCCCGCACCGAAGGTGCTGGGGCGTGATCTTCCGGATGGCACTCGTAAAAGGTTACAGGTTTACCTGGGGGGGGGGGCATTTTTCGGCCAAAACCTCCTGTTTTTGATAGGTCGTGACGCTCGCCTTCAAAAAACACTGTAAAAAACAGTACGGAAGACACCTGTTCGTGAACGCGCCCGTCCAAAATCGGCAAGCGAAAAGTGAAAAAAAACCGTGTTTTTCAACTTTTTGACTTCAATTTTTTGGTTTGCAACATCTTTTTTTGCGGTTCCGCAGGTGGCCTGGCCCGGAGGCGGATTTTTGAGTTTTTGGACCCGTTTTCGGACTGATTTTCGTCCTTTTGTGATAGCAGAAACACTGGTTTTTACAGTGTTTTTCTGTTTTCTGCATGCTTGACGGCTAGCTTCAAAACTTCCAAAAACCTCGTAAATTACGCTGTTTTATGTTACGGTGTGAATGAAAACATCGTAAATACTAGTGTTTTTTGACGTTGGTTAAAAAAACACTGTAAATTACAGTGTTTTTGGCCACCTGACCCTCAAAAACCATGGTATTTGCAGTGGTTTCTGCTTCTCACCGCGCAAAAACACTGTAAATAACAGCAATTTCGCCGTTTTTTCATGTTTTTAGTTATTTTTTGAACTGCGTTGGTCCGCTATACATGGCCATCAAATTCTTCGCGTTTTTTTTTCCCGACAATCAGTACTTTCGGATGTTTTTGGTCTCAATGCCCCTGCTGTGTGAGCCCAACGATGCGGTGCGGGCGGTTGCCGTCGCGAAGCGACGTGAATAAATAAATACATACATAAATAAATAAATAATGTAACGTAATGGAATGTAATGGAATGTAATGGAATGTATGTATGTATATGGTACACAGACAGACATAAATGCCAACGCAAATAGATCAAATTGTGCGTACAAATAATATTTGAAAGAAATTGCTACGAGTAGTATATGCAGTATATGCATTTGCAAGTCTTGTGATTCGGTCCAAAAACTGAAGCACCCCTAGTGTCATTAGGTGTTCAAAGAGTAAACAGGAAAATGTGGCCGATTCATGTTGGTTCCACTCATAAAAGCTGTGTCTAACTTGCTTAGTCGCATTCTGCAGACGGTGATCAAATACTCGTACATGTTTTTCACTGTTTTTCCTTCTGGAGTCTGCAAGCGAGACCAAGTTTTTGTGTTTGCTCCAAAGAGGATCCCCCCAAGACGCGCCAGCACGCCCGGTCGCTCCAACCCTTTTCGTGTTTCTCCGACCGGCGCTTCTCAGCAAGGAATGGCCCTGTTGCAAGGGGACCTTCCCCTTCGAGGAGTTGGTGAATTGACCGATGAGTCCCTGTAATTTGTTGTAATCCTGCAGAGTTTGCAGCCCTGCATTGCAGCTTGTGCACCTTGGGCGCAGGAGAGATGTAACACACACAACGTGGCAAGGTGACACGCCTGAGGCCAGTGGGCACACCAAACAAGATGTCAACATTGAAATTATGCGTCAATGATGTGTGGATTTAGATTCTGCATGGACTCTTCTACTCACTGCCAGGCCAAAGTAGTTTCAGCTAGCGAGATGAAGTCAGCCCTTGAGGAGCGCTGATGAACATCATATAAATACATGTGATGGTATGTCCAACACCTTCCTCAAGACTAAACCCACCTGTCAGAATATTGACAAGGGCAAGAATGTTCATGCAGTCTGCTAGCATCGCCTATGGGTTATAAAGGCCCTTATTATCCCTTATTCTTGGTGCATGGATTCTGCTTAATTCTTGCTCAAGTTTGTATTGCATGTGCTTTTTGGAGTTTCTATGCGCCTACGCCACTTAGACTGATTTTTGCAGGAGTGGTTGGCAGAGCTGTTTGGACTTGTTGTGACGGATGCGAAAAAGTGGGAGGAGGCCTCCAAGGGGCACACGACTGACCCGACTCCTCTCAGAACACCAGTGGAACAATAGGAACCGTATGCGAGTTCCCCACATTCGAGGTGAAAGTGGAGCACAACGGCATTTCCTGGGCTGTACACACATTGAATTTGGAGGCATGGATGGCATGGATTCTTTACACTGTCAAGGCCTTCAAAGGTGAAGATCCATCGGTTCTCCTTCGTGATTCTTGTTTGCCAGGCTGTGTCTTTGTCCAAGGAGGGATCCACAGCCAAAGGACTAGCAGAGAAGCTTTCAACAATGCCGTCTCCTCCCAAGTGTCGCACGTGTATCACGGGACTTGGTGATAAGAGATTGTAGGAACGCTGCTTTCATTCTGACCCAAAGCTTAGAAACTGGTCTATAACGGGTGGTATGTGCATGCAGAGAGATGCAGAGAGATGCACAAACATAAAGAACCACCAAGGATGACTGAACTACGACATTTCGGTTTGCGCTTCGTTACCCCCGCGAAGGAGGTGGATGTCAGCTGACATGGCATTGTATTCTGTTTTACCTGGCAACAACTGCTTGCAGGGCACAGTGGCTACAGAGAACGACATGGAACCTTTTCTTTCTGAAGGCGCAGAAACTGAAATGGACTGAAATGGACTGAAGGTTTCCAGATGTACAATATGTTCTGTCGCTGTCTTTGAATTGGCGAGCCAGGTCCACATCCTGGCAGGTGCAAGGCGGATGCATATGTTCTCGATGTCTCCTTGTAGCACTTGCTGTTTTATCATTCGCACATAGGAGGCGTACAACTGATGTATAAATAATAATGATAATAATGATAACATATGATAACATATGAGAACATATGATAACATATGATAACAATGATAACAATGATAACAATGATAATTTTAATAATGATAATAGTGATAATAGTGATAATAGTGATAATAGTGATAATGATAACAACGATGATAATGTAATTGTACACTGATTGATGAACGGTAATCATGCATATATATATATATATTTAGATAACTTTATATCTCATGATTTTGTTTTCGCTATATGCAGTGCTTTGAGTCCTAGAGCGACAACTGAGCTGTTGGTCAAATGTGGCTGTAAGCAGTGAAGCCGGTTTTGTGATTGTTTCACTGGTTGCAAGTGTTATATAGTTGTGTAGCAGCTGAGAGGGAACACTGGCAACATCTGGCAACAATTGCGGACGTGTATCATCATCACAGGGATTGCAATTGCTATGAAGCTCACATTGCCATGGAAGGTGGAGGATGGTGCTGCAGGCTTTGTTTGTGGCAACACTTGTTTGTAGTTACAGTTGTCCTGAATGTCGGGAGATGCAAAGTCAGCTTGTCGTTCTGCGAGGGCTTTCTGTTGCAAGAAGTTTGGAGGCGATGGGAGTGTAGTATTTGAGGGCCTTCACAGGTCCCACACTGTTTTTGACTAAAAAGGAAGATAGCCATCACACTCCCCATTTGACAGCCTGCTTCAGGACAGCCGCAAGCGCTACATTGCTTCTGGAAAGGACTAGACTTGCTGCTGAACAGTTAACACCATGCAATGTGGTGCAATGTGGCGCAATGACTGTGCAATGGTATGTCAAGGTATATGTGTAGCATACCCTTGCAGTCAATGAATACTTGACCATGTTTTCTGTTTTGACTCAATGGAAGTCTTTCTGTGGGACTATTCTTGGGCAGAGTATACACATTTGTCATGATTCTTGTGTACGTTTACGTACACATTCATTAACTATGAATTTACATGTTTACATTTGTGTGAGTATTGAGCATTGGGCATCCCAGTACAGCAAGCATGCTACTTTCCTTGTGTGTTTGCAGAGACTTTAGGCACATTTTTTTGGTTGCCAAGTTGTTGCTAGTGAGCAAAGGCCACAACACCCACAATCGCAGGTGCGTTTACCAACAAAATAAACAAAGCAAAGGGCGCGACGAGCATCAGCCAATCTGTTGCACTTTGTCCAAAAGACAACCTCCGTGTGCCGTACCTGCAAGACCTCCAACACAATTCTTGTAAGTTTGAGAACCAGCTGATGCGTGGTGTATACTATATACTGTTGAACGGTTGCTGCGAGTCAATAGCCACGTATTTCCGACCTACAAAAAATCTCAAAGAAACATGAGTGCCGCAGCGAGGCGGGTGAAGCGTCCATACCTAGATACTTTGGCAACTAAGCAAGACTGGTAGAGTGAGACAACTGCACCTTTAATGCATTTACAGCAATCTTTGGATCACGAAAGAGTTAAATGCCAGAGTTGCACTCATCCATAGTGTGCACATGTTTGCTGATTGTTTCAGCAGCAGCAGAGAACGGAAGGCAACCCGAGCAACAGCAATAGATTTATGAATTGTGATGTTTTATGTAGATTTCAACAAGTGAAGAGCGAAGGAAATAGGAGTAAAGGGCTGGGTGAAGGTGATGTTGATATCGGGATCGCGGTTGTAGGAGAAGAAGTCGTTGTGGTACTGTCCCAAGTCAGGGCAGTAATTTGTGTGGGAAAACGACAATTAAACAACGTTGAGTATATTATATTATATCGTATTATATCATAGATGGTTCATTTGCAGCAATTTGCAGCAGCCGCGGTGGCATGAGATTATTCCATTGGAGATTCCTTGGACAGGACAGCTTCAAGATATTGTGCCAATCACAAGTGGATGTCGGGCCGTCAAGGAAGTGCAGATTGGCATAGATTGGCGGAAGTTTTCGCAAAGTCTGACTTAGCTTTGCACTTGGATCAAAGGCTCCTCAAGGAGGAAGACGTTTTATTGGAACAAGGTGCGGCCTTGGGTCTTCTTGATAGCTTCAATCCATCGCATCCTCGCCACAATTCCTTTGCCAGGGACAGCCTCCAAAATGGGGCGATTCTCAAAGAAGATACGCAGGCCACCACTGGTCGCGGAAGTGTGGCAAGAGTCTTGATTCTGAAACCAATGGGATTGGAAACCCACACAAACTTGGCACAGGATCGCGGATTTGTCCCGATGCGAAAACCTGGCTACGCTGCCACTCAGACTGGTGTCTTGACTCTCAAGCTTAAAGGCAAGTCAATTGTGTTAGCCAGAGCAAGCCCAAAATCGAAAACTTTGTGATTCCTTTTCAATCCTAGGCAATCGGTTGTGGTGACGGTTGGAACCTTGAGTGGTTCTGCTGTGAAATGAATTTGATTTCGAGAAGCTAATGAATTCGTGTGGGATTATAGATTCTAAAAAGGAATATATATATATATAATATATATATTTATATATAATATCATATAATATATATTATAATATTGATTGAAATCTCATATAATCCCATTTTGTGTTTAATAATTATTTCTATTTTTTATGATATAATTAATGGTATTGTTTTTTTTAATTTATAATAATTTAATTATTGTCAAAGGAAGTTTAGGGGGAGAAACTTCCGTGTTACGGACTTTTAGAATGTCAGGGAAAGAGTTAGTCAAAGAAAGAGTTAGTCAAAGAAACAGTTAGCCAGGGAAAGAGTTAGCAAAGAAACAGTTAGTCAGGGAAAGAGTTAGTCAAAGAAAGAGTTAGTGAGGGAAAGAGTTAGTCACAGAAAGAGTTAGTCAAAGAAAGAGTTAGTCAAAGAAACAGTTAGTCAGGGAAAGAGTTAGTCAAAGAAAGAGTTAGTGAGGTAAAGAGTTAGTCAAAGAAAGAGTTAGTGAGGGAAAGAGTTAGTCACAGAAAGAGTTAGCAAAGAAAGAGTTCGTCAGGGAAAGAGTTAGTCAAAGAAAGAGTTAGTCAAAGAAACAGTTAGTCAGGGAAAGAGTTAGTCAAAGAAAGAGTTAGTCAGGATATATGAGGTAGTCAAAGAAAGAGTTAGCAAAGAAAGAGTTACTCAAAGAAAGAGCAAAGAAAGAGTTAGCAAAGAAAGAGTTCGTTAGGGAACGAGTTAGTCAAAGAAATTGTTCCCTCACTGTAAATGGGATTGCAAGTGGTGCTGGTGGAGGAGTTGCCGATGGAGTTTTGAAGGAAGTCTCGCACGAAATGCGTTTTTGAGAGATAGCAAATGCACGAAAGCCTATGTTTTTCCATACAAAGTCCGTCCCCGAACGTCGATGATCTACCTCTGCTGTGCGACGGGTGCGAGACGGTCTCGTGTGTGGTCGGATCATCCTCGGATCATGCTCGGATCGGTCTCGGATCGGTTCCGCATTGTAAATGGGGTGTCACCTGTGTTTCGTGCATGTGTGGTCGACAGAATTCCATTGTGATTTGCAACTGTAGGATCGTTCCCGCAATGTAAATGGGATTGCAAGTGGTGCTGGTGGATGAGTTGCCGATGGAATTCCATTGTGATTTGCAACTCTCGGATCGTTCCCTCACTGTAAATGGGATTGCAAGTGGTGCTGGTGGAGGAGTTGCCGATGGAGTTTTGGAGGAAGTCTCGCACGAAATGCGGTTTTGAGAGATAGCAGATGCACGAAAGCCTATGTTTTTCCATACAAAGTCCGTCCCCGAACCTCGATGATCTACCTCTGCGGTGCGACGGGTGCGAGACGGTCTCGTGTGTGGTCGGATCATGCTCGGATCATGCTCGGATCATTCTCGGATCATTCTCGGATCGGTTCCGCATTGTAAATGGGGTTTCAACTGTTTTTCGTGCATGTGTGGTCGACAGAATTCCATTGTGATTTGCAACTGTAGGATCGTTCCCGCATTGTAAATGGGTTGCAAGTGGTGCTGGTGGATGAGTTGCTGATGGAATTCCATTGTGATTTGCAACTCTAGGATCGTTCCCTCACTGTAAATGGGATTGCAAGTGGTGCTGGTGGATGAGTTGCCGATGGAGTTTTGCAGAAAGTCTCGCACGAAATGCGTTTTTGAGAGATAGCAGATGCACGAAAGCCTATGTTTTTCCATACAAAGTCCGTCCCCGAACCTCGATGATCTACCTCTGCGGTGCGACGGTTGCGAGACGGTCTCGTGTGTGGTCGGATCATTCTCGGATCATGCTCGGATCATTCTCGGATCGTTTCCGCATTGTAAATGGGGTGTCACCTGTGTTTCGTGCATTTGTGGTCGACAGAATTCCATTGTAATTTGCAACTGTAGGATCGTTCCCGCATTGTAAATGGGGTTGCAAGTGGTGCTGGTGGATGAGTTGCCGATGGAATTCCATTGTGATTTGCAACTGTAGGATCGTTCCCGCAATGTAAATGGGATTGCAAGTGGTGCTGGGGGAGGAGTTGCCG